GTTTTCCTGTTCAAGACAGTTAGGGTATGTCGAAAATCTCCCATCTCATTTTCTCCTCCAACTTCAAAATCATCCTACATCGCGGTTTTACCTTTTTTTTGTAAAGGGTGCTTGATCTTCTTTGCATGTTCACTTTGTAAACACTGGGTTGGTACTTCTGCACCATACTTGGCCACACGTCACTTCACTTTTTTCACTCACTTTATTAGAAGGGCAGCCCTAGTCGCGTGAATGCGGCTGCTGTCGCCAGAGTTTATTTAGCATACGTCAGCATCACATCAAAGCAAGATGGACCAGATAACTTTTCATGATTGGTTCATCTTGGCTGCTGTAAAAGCGTGTTCAAAAGACTTCCATATATAGTTATTAATTTAATATGCAAAGATGTTACTCAATCCTAGCAGTGGGCATTTACAATGAAGAATTAAATGAGACACGACTCTTTAAATGCAGTGTTTAAATCACAGCACTAAAATAAGAGTAGAACATTTACTCATAAGAGAACTTCAAGAAAAAAATTAAATGAAGCAATATATGAAGTTAAAACCTTTCAAAAAGGAAAGGTGAGAAAACTGCAGGAGGGCAGACAATGTACAGAAACACCGGGCAAAGGCAAATTAATTTAGAGAATGTAGAGGACAAAATAATTCAGCTTTGAGAATGAAAACCAACCTGTTTGTTCCTCAGTATCTTCATGTTTGACTCTGAATGTTTCTTCAATCGTCATCTCTTCACTCTCCTCTTTAATAAACGCCATCTTTATAACAGTGTGTCACGAGGAGCTCAGTCTCTTCAGCAGGTTTTCTGTGTGTTTAGGATCAGAATAATTAACAAAGAAAAATAAATCCAGATGCTTCTCAATCAGCTCCCTAGTTCAGTAGTCAGTGCACTGGTAAGGGAGTCAGAGTGAGAGTTAATGGACTTAAATCACCTGATGAGACAAAAGCATATAAAACGTTACCAATAAATAATAATGATGAACAAATGAATAAAAGAACACAAATTACACAGTCACTTTACTATTTACTTTTGATTAATATAAGTCATTTCTTGATCAGTATTACATTTAAAAGATTACACTTTTAATTAAATATTTGTTTAGTTATAATCAAAACTCGTTCTATTTTGTTGTAGATCATTAAACCATTAAGCTGCCTCAGAATCCTGTCCGAAGTTTCATGAGGTGCCTTCGTGCAAAAACGCTGCCTGCAAAGTCATTGCCTCATAAGGCAGCTAGTGCCGTGTTCAAAATATCGATACGACGATTCGTCACAGAGATTTGACGATACGAGCAATGATACAGCTGGCCCTGTATCGATATTGTGGCACGTGTGCAGCAGTGGACCGCGCTTTCAGTAGTCAGTGCACTGGTAAGGGAGTCAGAGTGAGAGTTAATGGACTTAAATCACCTGATGAGACAAAAGCATATTAAACGTTACCAATAAATAATAATGACGAACAAATGAATAAAAGAAAACAAATTACTCAGTCACTTTACTATTTACTTTTGATTAATATAAGTCATTTCTTGATCAGTATTACATTTAAAAGATTACACTTTTAATGAAAACCTTCGCAGTTGGTTTGTAAAAGTTGTCATTACACGTTTGTGTTTGTTGTTTTGAGCAGATGTCATTCAGCGCGCGGAGATTCGAGCGATTCAAAACAGTGAATCTTTTTGTGAAGCATTTGATTCAATTGACTCGTTTCGAAAAGCTCCGTTTCTCCATCACTACTTGCTAGTGACTTCGTGTTTAGGATGAACTGATTCACTACATAGGGAGCGAAATGAGACGCACCGTTTCTGTTACTAATGTGTAAATGCGGTTTATTTACACAAAATAACATCCATTAATGTTAGCTGCCTGCAAAGTCATTGCCTCATAAGGCAGCTAGTGCCGTGTTCAAAATATCGATACGACGATTCGTCACAGAGATTTGACGATACGAGCAATGATACAGCTGGCCCTGTATCGATATTGTGGCACGTGTGCAGCAGTGGACCGCGCTTAAGATGTCATTCAGCGCGCGGAGATTCGAGCGATTCAAAACAGTGAATCTTTTTGTGAAGCATTTGACTCAATTGACTCGTTTCGAAGTTTCGAAAAGCTCCGTTTCTCTCATCACTACTTGCTAGTAACTTCGTATTTAGGATGAACTGATTCACTACATAGGGAGCGAAATGAGACGCACCGTTTCTGTTACTAATGTGTAAATGCGGTTTATTTACACACAATAACATCCATTAATGTTAGATAACATACTATTAAATAATTTACTTTACATAGCTTGTAAAAACTATCAACTTTACTGAATGGTTCGCATTTATTTAAACACTTTAAATTATTAAAAACACAAACCTTTTTTCAGCTGAAACACAGACGCAGGAGAGCGGCGCAGCCTTATGACGTCACGCCACCAGACCAAAATAAAAGTCCCGTGGCTACAACAAGGTTTAATCTGGCTGCAGAGGAACAGGTGGATAAAAGTGCTTGCTTTCTGAAAACACCGGTTAGCTTGCAGTCTAGCGATCTCCACTTCAAGTCTATTCTCAGAAAAGTGTAATTCATCAACTGTTCATTTACGACACAGAGGCTGTGTATGTATGAATTACCACTGTTAAAGCTGTGGCTTTAATTCCTTTAGAAACAATGATGTTACCAGCTCCTTGTTGAGAAAGATAATGTAGCTTTTGAGCGATTAAGCTATTTAGTTCATAAAACTGCGGGGCAGAGCTAAAAAGTTTGTTCCTGTATGTCTGAGTGCAGCCGCAACGTGATCTGTGTGTGTGACTGCACTTAACATCAAACTGCTTCTGTTATTAAAAACACAAACCTTTTTTCAGCTGAAACACAGACGCAGGAGAGCGGCGCAGCCTTATGACGTCACGCCACCAGACCAAAATAAAAGTCCCGTTCACTCGCTGCTCTACAATCACAAAAAAGTGCATATTTACATAAAGAAAACACAAATAATAAAACATGTCAAAAGTATTCAGAGTTTGATTCTTGGTGAAACACATTTAAATATATGCATTATTTTATACACACACACACATATATATATATATATATATATATATATAT